GCTGGCTGAGGAATTCTGGGAGTTGAAGTCCACAAGTCTTAAAGTTGCCAAGGTTGGACACCCCTGGACTAGACATACCCAGTTTATCTTCTAGAAGCTTGTTTGGGTCTTTATTGTTTCTTCCCCATCTCCCTACCAAGCAAGCAGCACCCAGATGATCATAGATTAACTTGCAAAGTTAACATCAGACCAACAATCAAGTAAACAATAACCCAATCAAGGAACTGCCAAACTAACCAACAGTAAACAGCTCAACCAAATAGCCTCTAAGACCAACTCCACCAACACTTACAGGGCACTCAATTGAATAGAAACAGGAAGCAAACCCCACTCCTCACTAGCATTGATCTTACTAGTTAGGATAATGAAACTTCTGCAAGAAAACAACCAAACGCAGACAGCACCAAGGGCCCCCTCAAATGTTCCTTTGAGTTCAATGGAAAATGAATTAAATTTGGAATACACGTTTGTGTGTGTGTGTGGATCATCACAAATCTTCTGGTTTTCAGGTCTCAAAGTAGATTGGCAAGAAAACGACTTTCAAAAGCGGATCTTGAACGTTCCCCAGGAACTATATGAGAAGGGCTGTGTGACGGATGTGGATCATGGGTTGCAGGTAAACACAGCTACCAAACTTACCTTATCCATAGAGCTTGAACTTTCAGCCATGGGTACAGCCTCCTACCTCTGTGTCTCAAGTTTCGGAGCTTAGTGCTAGACACAGATGCATTTGTGTGTTTATTAGGCCACTGTTTCTCAGCCTTGGGAGTTTGAAGATGTGTGGATTATCTGAATAGGTAATAGCCAACGCCTTGAACTGCAGCAGAGGTATGCAGGTAGTCCTCAACTTACGACCACAACTGAGCCCACAATTTTTGTTGCTAAATGAGAAATTTGTTAAGTGAGTTTTGCCCCATTTTAGGACTTCCCTTGCCCCGTGAATCACTGCTGTTGTTAAATTAGTAACCCGGTTGTTAAGTGAATCTGCCTTTCCCGTTGATTTTGCCTGTCAAAAGGTCACAAAAGGCCATCATGTGACCCCCGGGACACTGCAACTGCCATAAAGGTGAGTCAGTTGTCAAGCATCCGAATGTAAAATTACGTGACCGTGAGGATGCTGCAACGGTCATTAAGTGTGAAAAATGGCCGTAAGTCACTTTTGTCAGTGCTGTTGTATCTTCAGACAGTTGCTAAGTGAACTGTTGTAAGTTGAGGAATACCTGTGCTGGTAACCAGTGCAGCTTGTGAAGTAAGAAATATCACATTGAGGCCAGCCTACCGCTAACCAGGCTACTATATTCTGGATCAGTTGAAGCTTCCGAGTAGCACTTAGCAATAGCACTTAGACTTATATACTGCTTCACAGTGCTTTACAGCCCTCTCTAAGCGGTTTACAGAGTCAGCCTCTTGCCCCCAACAATCTGGGTCCTCATTTTACCCACCTCGGAAGGATGGAAGGCTGAGTCCACCTTAAGCCTGGTGAGATTCGAACTGCTAGTAATGGGCAGAATTAGCCTTCAATAGCACTTAGACTTATATACTGCTTTACAGTGCTTTACAGCCCTCTCTAAGCGATTTACAGAGTCATCCTGCTGCCCCCAACAATCTGGGTCCTCATTTTGTGGGATGGGAGGCTGAGTCAACCTTGACCCTGGTGGGATTCGAACTGCCAAATTGCAGGCAGCCGACAGTCAGCAGAAGTAACCCTGCAGTACTGCACTCTAACCACTGTGCCACTGAGGTTCATGAAGAGTGGTCTTGAGTAGTCTTCAAGGGCAGTCCCATGTAGCTTGCAATGCAGTAGTCAAGTCATGAGACGACAAAGTGATTGCCTTGGAGGATTCAGGAAGGGGCAGCTGCACAAAGGTGTGCTTGGCCACAGGTGTCCCCTGCCCTTCAAAAAGGAGCCACGAATCCAAGAGCCACCTCCCTGCCCCCCCTGAATGTACCTGTCAACTCGTAAATCATTCCTTTGCCTGTTTCCGAGTTGACATTAGAAGGAGGGGGGGGGAAAGGCCTGACGGAGCAGTGCGGCAGATGAAGGCCAGAAGCATATTCCCAGCCTTCTCTTGTGGAGATTGTAGCCTAGGCTACTGGATCTTCCGCCCCCGAAAATCTTCCATTGGAGAGCATGATTGGGGACACCCAGCCCGGAAAATTGGAGAATCTGATATATGACACACCCAGGGTGTGTGTGTGGGGAAACAGAATCATGGGTGATCACTACATTATAAAAGAGATGTTGAGACTCTAGAAAAAGTACAGAGAAGAGCAACCAGGATGATTAGGGGACTGGAGACTAAAACATATGATAAACGGTTACAGGAACTGGGCATGGCTAGTCTAGTGAAGAGAAGGACCAGGGGAGACAGGATAGCAGTCTTCCAATATTTGAGGGGCTGCCACAGAGAGGAGAGGATCAAGCTATTTTCTAAAGCACCCAAAGGCCAGACAAGGAATAATGGATGGAAACTGAACAAGGAGAGATTCAACCTAGAACTATGGATAAATTTTCTGACAGTGAGGACAATCAACCAATGGAACAGAAGTTGCCCTGGGAAGTTGTGGGAACATCATCACTTGAGACTTTCAAGAAGAGATTGGACTGCCATTTGTCAGAAATGGTGTAGGGTCTCCCGCTTGGGCAGGGGGTTGGACTAGATGACCTATAGGGTCCCTTCCAACTCTGATTATCTGTTATCTGATAGTAAATTACGTGTCTCAGAGTTGGCTTCATACGGGTTAGTTCCGGACATGTTGTTCCTAATAAATCTTTTGAATTCTTTTGAAGCTTGGCTGGAGGCTCATGATTTAATGAGGGCAATCTTTGGAACCCTGACAGCACATCACTCTTGAATGGAGAAGTCGATTAAAGATTAAAGATAGAAGACCCCTAAATTTTAAGTGCCGCTTAGTTGGCCCTGCTAAATTTTGGAAGTGTGATGGGGGTGGGGCTCTTTTTTTTCTTCTTCTACCTGCCCAGAAACTTAAGGACAATTGCTATCTACCTGTAATAAATCTCATTCATTGGTGGCTTTCCTTGCATTCAGGCTGCCGAAGCTATTGGTTATCCGGTCATGATCAAAGCCTCTGAGGGAGGAGGAGGCAAAGGAATCCGGAAAGTAAACAATGCTGATGATTTTCCCAACCTTTTTAGACAGGTATGTTTCTTCCAGGGCATGTTTCCGGGGTCTGGCGAAATGTCTTGAAATTCCAGAACTTAGAACAAATGCACAACTCAAAGCCTGCTGGCTGGGGAATTCTGTGAGATGAAGTCCACGCTCCTTAAAGTATGGTAGCTGTGGAGTTCTAGGAGTTGACATCTGCACTTCTTAAAGTATCCTGGCTGGGGAATTCTGGGAATTGAAGTCCACACAGCTTAAAGCATACTAGCAGGGAATTCTGGGAGTTGAGGGCCATACACCTGTATGTGAACTAGCTGGGTAATTGTGAAAGTGTGGGGAATTCTGGGAACCTTCCCTGGTTCTCATGAAAACAAAGAGAAGGCGGGAGAAAGCACAATGAAGATTTGCAGGGTTCTGTTACTATACTTTTATAATAAAAGTAATATTGGTCTTTGGTTTCTACTTTGCTCTACCATGAATGAACAAGACTTTAATCTTGCAACTCAGAATGTGCTTCCTTTTCTCCACTTAATCTTTGTGACAGCTAGGAAAGCTCTTGCCTGAGATATTTTCTTGGGTTACATTCTGTTCCAGACTCAAGTTTCTTTTATCTGATCATTTTCTGGATAATCTCTTCTTCTTGTTCCTCAAGGCCATTCCTTCCTCCCACTACGCTTGGTGAACTAACGATCTGGGGGGAAAAAATGCTTTTTCTTAATGTCTGTGGAGATTCTCAGTCATCCAGGTCATGGTTGCCCCAAAGGTGTTTTTTTTTTTCTTTTCAAAAAGGAAACTGGACTTTCTTGGTTTTTCCTTGAAGACCTTTCTCCTCTCATCCAAGAAGCTTCCTCAATTCTGAATGATAGGTGGAGAATGGAAGGAAGAACATTGTTGAGGTCATTTGGAGGTTTATCTGGGTCATTCGAAGGATGCAACACCCAGACACAAACTGAGCAATGTGAGGTATGCAGTACAATGCAGTGAAGACATGCAGTTCTGTAGATTGGAGAAACAAAACATCCACTTCACAAGTGCGTGGCACAACATAGGAGAAGAAACCCATCAGGACAAGATTCAGAAGTCCATCTGCATTTGAAAGACAAGTAGCATTCTTTTGAAGACAGGAAAGTTCACATTCTGGACAGAGAGGACCGCTGGTTTGAAAGAATGGTCAAAGAGGCTATCTATGTTAAAATTGAACAGCCCTCCCTCAACAGAGAGGGAGGGGGGTGCGATACCACCTATCTTCTGTTTACAACATAGTCCTTTCGGCAGTTCCAAGAAGGCTCCACGCCCGTTTGCACTAATCAGATGACTCTGAGGGCACAAGTGGTCTCAAAACAACTCTCAGAAAGAGTGGTAACGACCAGATGACTGCAAGTAATACAAATCCTTCCATCCTCCACCCTTCAGTCAGAACTGAAGAAGCTTCTTGGATATGAAGTGAAACGTCTTCAAGGAAAAACAAAGGAAGTCCAGTTGCCGTTCGAAAAAGCACCTTTGGGGCTTTTTTCTTAATGGCTTTTGAACATGGCATTTTGAACCTCGGCTCAAAATCCAATTGCTTGGTCACTGCCTGCTTGTGTTTGACTCTTAGGTACAAGCTGAGGTGCCCGGCTCACCAATCTTTGTGATGCGACTGGCTAAGCAATCCCGCCACCTTGAGGTCCAGATCCTTGCGGACCAATATGGCAACGCCATCTCCCTCTTTGGCCGAGACTGTTCCGTGCAGCGCCGGCATCAAAAAATTATTGAGGAAGCTCCAGCATCTATTGCAACGTTGGCTGTCTTTGAACATATGGAACAGGTAGGTGGGAATGCTGCCTTTGAGGGGGGAGAACTGTAGCTCACTCCTCACATTTGTGGTGGAAGAGTTGTTGCTCCAGGTAGTCCTCAACCTACAACAGTTTGTTTATGATGATTATGATGTATTTTGATGATGACGATGATCATGATTTATCATTTATAGCTTTTATTTACACTGAGAGCTTATGCACCGAAGACAATTCCTTGTGTGTCCTATCACACTTGGCCAATAAAGAATTCTATTCTATTCTATTCTATTCTATTCTATTCTATTCTATTCTAT